GAAGGTGGCCTTTGTACAGGGACACAACCTCCACAGGATCACAGGCCACTCTGAACAAAATTTAGAGTCTTGCGTATGAGAAATGCCCACATCCTAGCCACGCATGACAACAGAAGGAGTAAACAATGGTGGTTTATTCAACATCTTGCCGCCCAGCAATGCCCAGTCCCCAAATAGCAAGATCTGACACCTGCAAGTCCAATTCTAAATGAGTCTCATCTGGACCTTGACATTAATCCCTATCCCACCCCGGCCAGATGCTGTGGCATCACCTGGCCCACAGCCCTCTCCATCTACACACATACTTGCTGATTCAGTCCCCCAAGTGAACCTACCCTCCCCTGAGAAATTAATCTCCATTCCTACCATCAGCAGATCTTATGTACTTCGTTTGGAATTTTGCCTCTCAGGAATGTTGCTGATCTTGCATAGCCTGTTCAGACACATCCCCAAATCCCAAAATATGACCATCTCTGCCAGCATCCGGAGTCCACTCCTCAAATCCTCTCCAAGGGCAAGAAGGGCTAAGTGGGACATCAGGTTGGCAACTTACTTTTAAATGGGCCAGGAAAAACATTCTTTGTACTGTACTTGCAAGTTTTCTATAAGTGGATTATTGTTTCAGAATAAATGTTTTTATTTTTAAAAATGATTTGAACATTAAAGTATAAGAAACCCTTGACAAAACTGATGAAATCCTAGAACACTTCTGCAAAAAATGACTCTCTATATTCAGGCCTTAGAGAGCACACAGAAGTTATAGGCATATATTGAAAATCCAAAATTTATGAATTCTTTGTTTATTTTAAGAACGAGAGGCCCGATACATGAAATTTGTGGGGTCTGGAGGCTCCCTCAGTCCAGCCCGTGCCCTCTCGCAATCCAGGACCCCTCATTCCTAATTGCCTGCCTGCTTGGCTTGACACTCTTCAGCACCTGCTGTGGAGGTGGGAGAGAGGCTCCCACCACTGCTCCCCAGCTGTGAACCTGGCTTCTGGCTGAGCATCTGCCCCCTGGTGGTCTGTGCACATCATAGTGACCAGTCATTCTGGTTGTTCCACCTTAACAGTCACTGGGCTTTTATTATATAGACTAGAGGCCCAGTGCATGAAATTCATGCACTCGGCAGGGGGCAGGGGGAGGGGTCTCTCAGCCCAGCCTGTGCCCTCTCGCAGTCCAGAAGCCCTTGGGTGGGGGAGTGCTCAGCCAGAGTTGGACATCCTTAGAGCTGCCGTGGAGGCTGTGAGCTCAGCTTCTGGCTGAGTGGCACTCCCCTTGTGAGAGCGCACTGACCACCAGGGGGCAGCTCCTGCATTGAGCATCTGCCCCCTGGTGGTCAGTGTGCATCATAGGGAGTGGTTGAGCAGCCTTAGCATATCATTAGCATATTACACTTTGATTGGTTG